TATATATATATATATATATATATATCTGTATGTGTGTGTATTAATAAAAATAATTAAAGAATAATAAATTAATAAACACTAGCTTTAAAAAAAAGGGATACTGAAGCCTTCCAAATAATGTGGGTATTTATGTCTCTATCTTAAATTAATGAAATTTTTTCTCTTAAATTCGATATATCACTTGATGCAGACATTTGTATGTAGCGATTAATGTTCATGTAGCATAAATTATGAGAAATTGTTTTTTTCACTTTTCTTAAATTGTAAGATTCTCATACTGACTTAGATACCATGTAGCATTTTCATGCATCAATGTCTAACGAATATTACATGAAACAATTAAATAACCATGATGAAAGAAATGAAAGAGGAATATATTACATACGAATGATTGTATGAGCATATTAAATTATGGAGTCCACCCCCATTATGGTACTGGCTTGGGAAGCAATACACACATGCACGTAAGTGAAAATGAAAAAGGCTACCTATCTTTTTAGATTGATTTTGAAAAAAGTCATGAAAATTAGGAGTGTGCATTATTTGGTTATAGCCAAAAAACAATACCAAACCAAATTTCTTTGGATGATTTGCTTCGGTTTGTAAATTATTAGTTCGGATATTGGTTTGGAAAATCAAAATGTTTGGTTCTCGGTCTTTAGATTGAAAAAAAATGTTAAAACAGAACTGAATACACGCACACATATGTTAGTATGTATGTATATTATTTCCTCGCTTCCTTCAGAACTAGGTGATTTCGCTCATGGGCCGCAGCTCGAACAAACTACTCTAACTCGGATTCAAAGGTATTTATTTATAATATTAGTTTACTCATACATATTCATACTCTTGAATTACTATAACTCAAAAAATATTTAGCCACTGACCCATTTTAACTCATAGAATAGTTGATGAATATTCTCAGATATACCTCATTTAATTTAAAAGGACAGTAGAAGAGAATTTGTTTATAACTATCAAGGAATCCTAGAAGATAGATAATGTAATAAGCTTATTTTATATCAGTTAAATTTGAAATTTTTCAAATTTGAAAGTGCTTTAGTACCAAAAGTTATGAATGAAAGTTTTTTAATAGGTTTTTCTATAAAAATCAGAAGATCATTATGTTTTACAAATTTGGACTGTTTAGTTAAGTAAAATTTTACATCCGTCCATCAATTATCATCTTGGTATTCCAAGCTTCCGAGTTGGGTTGACATAATGGATTAATGTCTTTCTTCGATGTCAATTTCCCAGTTCAACAGCTACTTTTATTATGGTGCACAACTCATGTGGCTTTTTTTTTCACAGTTCTAATGGAATCTACTATGTCAATCTTTTAGTTTCTATTCCTCAGGTCAGCGGTTTCACTCATTATGCTAATAAAATCACAATTGATTGCAGAATTTAATAGTGCTTTTGCAATCAACGGTAGAAAATTCTATCATGTCTCATTTATAAATAAAGATATTATGCTAATATAAAACTCAATGATTTTTGCTCAATAATGTTCTAGTTAGATGTGTTATACCTTTTACTTTCAGGAATCAAAACATTGATGAAGTGAGAAACTTCAAAAATTTTATGAGATGATATCACATTATCTAAGAAAGAGGCTCATGCTTGTTTTTTCTGCATTTAGTGATGCCTTCCAGTCAACTTGCTATTCCTTGGTCTGTAATTTAATATTGGATAGATTGAGCCATTGTTTTTTTTTTCCTATATGAATTTGTTAAATGGTCTTGAGTCGAGCTTTACGGCCCATAGGCTTTCCTAAAAATCTAAACAAAGATTCATACAAGTGTTTAGTCTTAATTGACAAGTCTAATAAGAGGTTCATTTAGACACTAGGCCTTAATGTAAAAATCAAATAGGAAGCGTGTTCGAAAACTTAATTAGAATCTTTGATAACTCAAAAAGGCAACCATTTAATCATTCAATTTAGCTTTTAAATCCATAATTGATCAGAGAATAATTTGGAATGCTTAGCCTCAAGCAATAGAATTCCAATTAAAATCATCACATGGTGAATATTCATGAAAATTTTATGAATGAGATAACTTGTCAATTTTGTTATGATTAGAGAGATTGAAGTTCACTCATAAGAAGTTAAAGTAACAGCTAAGTTAATTGGATTTGAAAACACTAAGTTGGGGTAATCTAGAGTTCGATTAGAGATCATTTTTTGGTCCTCAGACATTATTTGTATTATATTTTAGTCAACTTTTATGATTTCAAAACATTTTTGTAACTGAAAACTTTCAAACTTAAAACAAAAGAAACAAATAGACATAGTCCAAAGAGATTTGCCTCATGTTTAGGGAACCTCGTACAGCCTAAAAGTCGTTTATAGCAGAAGAAATTTCAATTTAACGGAAACCTCTACATGCCATAAAACAAACTATATTTGCAATATGCCAAAAATGGAATCTAAGAAAGAAAATATGTATGGAGATAAAAAAATGAAGTACCTCCTATCAGGGCCGATTCCATATGCAACGGTGTCGCTTACAGTAAGAATAGCAACCTTAAAATTTCTCTCTTCAGGATGGGAAGAAGCATTTGGTGTCAGTTTACCTGAACGGTTTGAAGGAAGGTTGCCTATATCAGAAAGCAGTATCGCTTGCACAGAAGTTCCAGCATGGAGTATTTGCCCTGTAGAAGGTAACTCCAGTAAAGCATTTGCGGACTTCATGCTCAGAAGACGGCTGCTCAATTGCCCTCCTGTGCTCTCAGCAACAAAACTACAAGGAAAACATTATTTCTGCAAATTTAAGATTAAGTCAAGCTTGAGCTCATGCCGATCTCAAAAACAATCTAAATATTAATCTTACCCGGGTGTACCAGATCCATCATCAAACTCCCATCTTACAATGGCACGATGATACTCTGGTCTGTCAGCACTGGTCCTTATTTGTTGAGCAATACGGGCATGCACCCTGCGCATACAATTCGATCTAAATTTACAACAAATAAAAATATAAAGCGGAAATAAACGAAAATAGTATTGCTGAAACTTCAAATCTATTATCGTGACTTTCCAAACAGGAAATAAACACTACAAACATAAGACAGGACCTTAGGGCGAGGGCAAATGTGGTGAACTTCAGCTAGACAGCAGGTGTGGGGATGGTTGAGAGGTTATGGCTGCACTATGGAGGCTGCTGGGAGGAAAGGCAGCAGCAGGGACAAGGGATAGGAGACTGTCGGCAGTAAAGGAGGCATTTGGGAGGGCTTGCTGCGGTAGGGGAGCTTGCTGGGAGAAGGCGCGGTGGCAGGGAGGGGACCTGGGAGGAGACACGACGGCAGGGAAGGGTGCTGGGAGGAGGTACAGCAGCAAAGCACATTGATGGGAGGGGGTTGCAGCAGTAGAGAGGTTGCTGGAAGGAAGTGCAGCAGCAAGAAGGGATCCTTGAGCGGGTGCAGCAGCCAAGAAGGGATCCTTGAACAATTGCGGCAGCTGAGAGGCTACTGGGAAGAGGTCGGCAGTGGGGGAAGAGGAGTACAGCGAGAAATCGACGAGATAAACACCATCTCGGATCAAGCTACAGTCAGAGCGTCACCTATCCTCGGATACAACCCTAACAAAGGAAATCGCCTAACGGCAGGAATCTAAAATCAGCAAGAAAATCAAAATTCAATCCTAAACAACAAGCAAAGACTCTGTAATAAGATAGGTGAGAGAATAACGGAAAAAGGGGGCAGCAAATTCCGCCCGAACAGCCAACCGGTCCAGCCTCCCTGCGTCATAGAGGGAAGATAATCTCATAGTTCAACCGTGTTAGACCAGTTCAGCCATTGCCCCTGCATCACAAAGGGACAATTACTTTCACCGAGCAGGGAGAAATTGAAGAATAGACAGTGGTATATGAGAGAATGAAGACATCGAAAAAGATTATCAGCTTCCAACCGATGAGATAGATGTTTGTATTCAAAGATAAGCCCATCAGAGACTCCAGTCAATCTAACATTGGTTGTCATAGAAAATAGTGAATCTGAGGAGCTAATAATGGGAAAAGAACAGCCCTTGTCAAAAGAGTTGTTAGATGTTATGGCTGATAGTTTATCTCTTGGATAGTTAACCTTTAGGATCGTCCAACATGTCATGGATTTCATTTCAGAGATAGTTCCTTCAGACGGGCATGTATATCGGATGCATCCAACCAAGTGAGAGAAGTTGGAGAAACATGTATAATTAACGGTTCAATACTTGGTTCATGAGAATATCCATCTGTGTGCAACTCCAGCTTTGGTTGTGCCAAAAAAAAATATTATTTATCCTATTAAGACAGACTGTGGAATGGTGCATGCATTTCAAAGTTGGTTGGGATGAGTGTAAGCATAAATTTTGTAGTGGAAAAAAAAGCAATGATTTTATTATGATGGTGATAAATCGATTCCAAAAGCATACAAAAAAGATGAAGCAGAACAAACCTCTCCTAGCTAAGGAGAATGCTGCAGAAGCGTCCCGTTACAATCCCAGGATTATGATACCATAATCCCGAGAGCGGTAATTCCATGAACAGCGAGATCGCTCCTCCCGCAACTACAGGTTCGAAGAGGGTGAGGGGAGCAATGATTTCCAAATTTTCATATATATTTTCTTCCTATCTGATTTCTTTCCTATTTCGTTATTTCTAATAAGATTTTTTCTATGATGGAACTATTCATATGTTGTATTTTGTTGATTGAGGAAGCTAGTTTTATTTTTGGTATTTTGAGCGATTGTATTCTGTTATTTATGATCTAAAGACTGTTGTATCTTCTTATTTTGCAAGAGGTGTGTCTGCATCTTCCTCAAGAAAAAGTGATGGAATCTCCTCACAGCACAAATCTTGTTGTTTCCCCATTCAAGTAGTTGTTTTTAGCTAGGACAAAAGCCAAACTCACTTATCCCCCTCCAAACACCATCAAACACTCGTATTATCCTTCTGTTGCTATTCCACAATCACCTCCCCCACAACATCATCTTCCTAAACACCTTATAATAGCCTAAGAATGGTATCAAGGGCTTACACCTCATTATCCAAGGTGAGCAGTATATGCCTCACCAAAGTTGAGGATCCTCTTGAGGCCGCCTCACCTAAATTTTTTTAGACTATCCATAATTCTTTTAACAAAAGCTAAAAATAAAATCAATATGCCACACCTATCAACCCTCATGCCTCACACACTAAGGGTCTGTTTAGGGCAGTTGCATCTTATCCAGTTTATGCTGGTAAGCAACCTATCCTGATCAGTAGCTGATCTTGATAAGTTGACTGGTTGTTTGGTTTGTGCGTTTGGAAAACAGCTGATTTGCAGTTGTTCCTGGATAAATGATCATTCTACCCCTGATGAATATTACCGATAATTCGTCCCTAAGCGTCTCATGAAATGTTAAAATATGTCTATGGAGGCTTTTTGGTCCAAAAGAAATTTCAGTTGAGTAGGGATCAAACGATCGGTGGGAAGGGAATTGTTCCAATTGGCAGTCACCTCAATGTTAATGGAGGAGTTAAAAAGGGTGCTCATGTGAGCAACAAGCAGATAGTGATGGCAAGAATCAAGGGCACGAAAGAATAGTGAGAAAATAAAGGAAGATTTCCTCAGTAGAACAACCAAACAGCAAAAGAGAAACACCTGTAGGAAGATTTCAGCAGTGGAACACCTGTAGGAACACGCCAAGGTAAACGGATCTCTGGCTTGCGCAGGTAAGGTGAGAGGGCAAACACCGAAGATTTTGAAGCAGGACAAGAAGAACTCGCCAACCCTCGTCTCTGTACTGTTATCGTTCGACGATCAGCGATCAATGGCACCGAAGGACGAGAAGAAGGTTGTCGCAGAGAAGAAGCCGGCTACTGAGAAGCTGACAAAAGAAAAGGAGAAGAAGGCTGAAGAGAGCGACGGGGTAAAACACTAAAAAAAAACACGGACCGCAGGGGTAAGATCCGCGGTCTGCGGTCCGCGTTTAATGTAAAAATGAAACCGTGTTTTTGCAGAAGCGGCCAGAACATGTTTTTCAAACGGGGCAGTGGCGTTTTTAAAATGTCGCCGCAGCGGATAAGCTGTCCCAAACGCACCCTAAATAGTAATAAATGAATGAAAAATGTATACATAAAGATTTACGCAGCTGAACTTCTAACTATTAACATAATCAATGATTTAAAATTTAATTAACAATTTTATTGACTATTTTTTATAAGGAAAGAGAAAGATGATCGAGATTAAAGATGATGAAAAATGGGAAAATATGCATATGACAAATGAAAAGCTGGGAGAGAAAATAATTCATTATAGATGATTCTAATAAAAATCCGCCATGTCATGAGAGTTATAGGGCCATTTGAATTTAAAAATTCTAATCCTATTACATTCATACATAAGGCGTGGAAGCTGAATTATATAAGTATGAGAAAAAGGCTTATGTTGAAATTATTTTAACTGTTAAGTTATGATATTTTATAATTTTATTTTGATGTTGTTTGTTTTAATAGTGTAATATTTGCATAACAGATCTTATTTCATAATTTAATAATAGACTATTAGTGCATTACCTCTTTGTGCAATTGTAACTTTTTATTTTGGCAGAATATTGATGTTATTTTTTAGTGTGCCAATTGTTTAAATGTTAATATGTTATTTTTTAATTCACACTTTAAAGTTTATATAATACTTATTACTTTTCAAAAAATTTTAAATTCGAGACTTATGCCTCAAAATTTTTTGAAGCAAATGCCTCACCTCATGGAAAATACAATTCCTCAATACTCAACTTGACCTTAAGCAAAAGGATATTACTTCTTCAATTAGTTTTCTTTAAATTAAATTAGCTTGTACTTTATTTTTATGATTCTTTCTTCTTGATAGCCATTGTTGAGTTCTTTCTAAGATTTGGGGGCCGGATATAGCATTATATTAGGCAACTCAATCGTGCAAAAAAATCAAAAAAGAATTGCCATACAAAAATTTTCAGTTTAGGTGCCTACAACTTTCACCCATAAAATATTAAAATGAGATCAAGATTTTGAAAACTTCATAATGAAGAAATTCCACAATGCATCGGCAAAAAAATGCCAATTGAAACAGCATTATTCTATCTACATCATGGATAAAACAACTATATTGAAAAAAGGGAGATTCAAAAGAAGAGAACGAATATAATAAAGAAAGATGGATTCAATTAAGAAAGTAAGCAAAAGATGCATTCAATTGAGAAAGTAAAACAACTATACAGCACGGCCTGCTGTAACAAAAACTTCTACAACTTCCTAATATAAATACTGCAACCGAGAAAGAGATTTTCAATCTCATATTGTGGAGAATTTACTAAATGTAGCTGGAAACTACAACATTAAAATAGATTTATCAGATCAACAGTATGTACAGCTGTCAAAATTTTATAGAGAGAAGAAAAGTTGATAAAGAAGAGGAAAAAATGACTGTAAAAAAAATACACTTCATTTGAGCACCCACAAAAGTTGAGGCCCATTACCTCTGAAAGCCATTGTTTACAAAAGATAAAAAGGAAGAGTCATCAGTGACAATGAATTTATAATGTATAAGCCATAGAGGAGCTATTTTTTTTTTCTAACTTTACGTTTAGGCAACTTCATTCTATACTAGTCTTGTTCGAGATACCATACTTCCATTAACACAAAGATCAAATTATTGCTAAATTTTACTTTTAAGTTGGAAAAGAACACGAAATAAAAGATTAAAACCTTGTAAGCTGAGGGTTTGGCCATCCAGAAAGACTACGAATAGCTGGAACAACAAAAAGATGGAAGCAAACCAAACAGCTGACAGGATTTCCAGGCAAACCAAATGCAAGTACTGTCTTAGCATTTCTATTATCTTCAGATTTGGTGTCAATCTCAGCAAAAGTCAAAGGTTTTCCAGGTTTCATGAAGACCTGCATTAAAAAATGTGAAAAATGTTAAGGAAAGATCGCTTATTTTACTATTAGAATGATAAGTCAACAAATTGTTGATAGCATTTCAGTAGTGTTTATCCCTACTCCTAGAGGAGCCACGACACAAACTGGAAAATAATTAACTCATATATTTTGCTATAACATAATGTGTGAGGTTAAAACTAAATTTGATGCAGATCAAGAGCATTATCTCAGCACTCAAGAGTAATCTTCAGAGGTCCCTTAAGAAGCATTTAGAATATATTTGTGTAGATTTAAAATCACAGTTGCTTAAGTTCACACCTAGTTCCAATTAGCTTCAACTAGATAGTGAGGAGCTCACTCCGCATAAGGTTTTTCATAATTGTTAAGGGAAGTTTTGTTGACCTGGAGCTCACCACCCAGATGGATAATTAAATTATCACAAACACTCCTCTTGACTTGCAGAATTAAGAATGTGTTTGGAACAGCTTGTGCATTTTAGGATAAGCAACTTATCCTTATCCTGAAATGCGACCCATGGGTCGACCGCAGGGTTCGACCCGCGGCCTGCATTTAGTGTAAAAATAGAACTGCATTTTTGGATAAAGGGGCAAAACGAACGATCCAAACAGTACCGCAGCGTTTTCAAAAATGCCCCCGCACTTATAAGCTGCCCCAAATGAGCCCTAAGACCAAATGGATGATGAACTAGTCTAACTAAATTATCACAACATACGTGATACATTGCATTTCATAATTCATTCATATAAATATTCGAAAGCATAGAAATCATAACCTCAAAACATGTAAACTATAAAGAGCTACTAAATCCAAAATAAATAAAATAAGTACCCAAAAGTTGTACAAGCTCCTAAAACTATAAAACGTAAAAGCTACACAAATCACACATAACTAATCGCCTCTGTGCTCTTGCACTTCGTGAAAGACAACATATAGTGAGCAACAACGAGCTCGGCAAAATAATCAAGACTAAAATAAGTTTTTATACATGGAAAAGAAATAATATGTATGCTCAAATAAAATATGCATGTCTACACACAAGTCACAACATACTAAAATTATTTATAACATGAAAATAAAACAGATAGTGTAGAAATCAAAACTGATGTGTAAACATAGATGTCATTTCATTCATGTATAGACATATGCATATAATCATAAGAATATTAACAATCATAACAATGTCATCACAACCATATAATCATAGCATCATATTAATATTATTTCATAGCAATGTCACTTGTAAATGTATAGGCCACAATTATTTTTATGTCATGTCATATCATATCATGTATCGTCACTCTGCCCCAAAAGTCATATTGACTATTGATAAATGTTAAACCCCCAATACAACAGTTCTTAATAACCCCCTTGATACCAACATTTCCCTAATCTCTGTCATCGTCTGATGACAACGATTTCCAGAGTTTCATTGCAACCTGAACACCACGAGTTGGAAACACCACATCCCTGTTGTATTACTAATGACATTTCTTGCGTACTTGCAAACACTCATGTAATAGTCTACTCATAACATTACTAATGACATTTCTTAAAGCATAATACATGTAATAAATATTTATATGCACTTCATACATCACATGCATGGGTCATTAATATATGCAAATAATTAATTTCGTAAGCATATTCATCTGTATCATAACAAAATGACATCATATGTATCATAAGAAAAATCAACTTGCATTAATACATTTAGTGCAGATATTCTTCAACAATATGCGGTAAATTCTAAATACATATGTGTCAAATGAGAAGTCATATGAAAACCTATAGAAGATTATTTTTCTTACATTAACACAAGATTATTTTATCTGACTTGACGGAGCAACCATATGACAAATTCAGATATGCCCTTCTCGAGCTCACCATCTCATGTAAACAACCTGAAATTCTTATGCAACATAGGGTTTCATCAAAATTGGTTCATAATGTGCACTAACCTAAAACATCTCATTTGCCAAAACACACCTTAAATGAGCTTCTCGACATAAGTTTGTCTCCCTGATACTGCCTAAACTTCTCTCATCCTCTTTTTAACACCTCAATCCTCCCTTCCCCTTTGCTAATTCCGTGCTAAAACCCTTACAGAAGCTCGCAAATCAAGTTCGACACTTCCGACACAAGGGAAGGAAATTGGGAGAGGGTAGGAATTTCGAAGGCTCTGAAGACCCCATCGATAAATATCATGCAGGAAGTCGACTATGCACAGTAGTGCGAGAATTAGAGAGGGATTAGGAAGATAATTAAGGTTTAATTTAATTAAACTTAAAACTTCCAAATTTTATCTCTAAATCCATTGACAATTCATGCATAGTGTTATATATCGAATTGATCGATTTGAAGCATAGATGACACAAAGAATTTCCTCCAAAAGTTGAACCGGTTTGGCTCGGACCGGTTCAGTTGAACTGGCCCCCTCCCCCCTCTTCTCATTAGGCCGGAATTGTCCCTCCCTCCTGTTTTTATTTCATGCTCATCCCTCTACTATTTGTGTTTTTATGCCTTAAGGTTTAGCTTTTATTATTTTATGATTTTAGTTTGTGAGAACAACCATCGGCGTCTTGATTTCCCCTCGAAGCTTGTATTCGATTTTTAGGGTGATGCTTCGGCTGTATCCCTCTCCCAAGGTGGTGATTATCTCAGACTCCCCTTGCCCCACAACCAGTCCATCGCCGCCACCATCCCCTCTCCTTGTTGCAATCCTGCAAAACAATATGTTACCGTTCCTGCAGCCAACTGCTAGCTCCTCCTACAACCCCTTCCTCCCTGCCATCACTCCTTTTCACCTTCCAAGAAATTCCTTGTCGTAACTCCCC